TAAAAGTATTTCTTTGGAAATAATATGACTTAACATTGCAGCGTTTAATTCGTTACACATATGACAAGTAGGTAATAAACAAACAGTATCAGATGACAAATTACTAATAAAATCACATAATTCGTTTATGGTAATCTTGTTTTAAAAGACTTACCTTTGAAAGATATTTTTCTTTTTTCAAGAGTATCATAATCAGACGGTGTTAATAAATCAACGCGAATTCTGAAAAGTAATTCACGATAAGATCCTTGCTGGCACATATTGATTATCAGTTTGTCATAACCAAATAAAGTAATCCATAAATTAGTAGCACTTAAAGAACCAAGATATTTACGAACGTTTTCAGCTGTTAGTTGTATAAAGGCAGGATCTTCATGTACAGGAGGTAACTGAAGAAGATCTCCAAATAAAAGAATGTGCTTTTGATCGAACCAAGCATCATCGCAATCAGTAGTATCGAATATTTCAGATAATCGTAAGTGTATATACATAAGAATTAAATGAGATATCATTGACACTTTGTTAATTACAATAAGTATAATATAATGCGTAACTCACTATATATATCGGTTATTGCGAAGAATGTTGCTAAGGTCTCGGTAGTCTAAAACCTCAGGACGCTCGTACGGAATGCAAGAGATCCGGGTTCGACTCCCGGCCGAGGCAATATTTTTCGCAATAAGTTTATTACAGTTTTTTAAGATTTGGGAGAATTTAGGGGGATTATTTGTTTCAGATTGATTGTGTGAATCCAATAATTTCATCGGCTCTCAATTTATTTCTGAAATATTAATTCAATTTAATTGAATGTATATTAAATAGTAGTTCAACATCTTAACACTCGGACCAGGAAGGCGCTATGTATTTAAAATTTTAATATTTATATAGACGGTCTTGTTTCCAATCATATTAATTATAATAAGACTAACATCTTTAAGATCTGCTTGTAAAACTTTCAAAATGTGATTAGCTAATTGTTTATATTTAGGAGTATGATCATGTTCAACTGATAATTGCAATAATCTGTGAACTGTTAAACCATCTCTATTAAATGCTGCAATACCAGTAGGTGCTGCTACAGCAGTATCTTTCTTAAGATTTTGTTTTAACCAACATTTAATCAAGAAACTTTTGCCAGTACCTCCTTCTCCGCTAACGTATAATCGTAATAGTGATTTACCTGATGCTATAGTATTAGTGACTCTATCAAATACTCTTCTTTGATCCGCATTCAATTTTGAAATCATTTCAGATATATCGATTTCTTGTTTGTCACCAACATCTTTAAAATCTTGCATTGCATCACCATTGAATATTTTGTACATCTACTGGATTATCAGGATCATCTTGAGACGTATATTCTATTTTTCTAAGTTATCGAGCTGTTGTTGAATTAATTGCTTCGCAGTTTCAAATGCATTTTTCAATTCTTCTAATTTTTCATCATACTTCAATGCTTCTTCAAGATGTAATTTGTCATTGTGAAATGACTCTGCATAAGTATCATATCCATTTTTAAGATCTTGTATTTTTCGTCATGGTTTAAACATAAGAAATAATGAAAAGAAATACTTTTCCGGTTGCGTATTGACATCATATCTATAATGATTGATAAGACATTCACGTTGTCGCCGTTTCAAATAATAACCATTATTTATTTTATAATGTATTATATAATTTTTTTACTTATTGGTTTGATTTTCGTTACATCATACCATTGTACAAATTCATATAAAGACATTGTTTTAAGTTCTTCCGGTCTATTTGGACTATAATGACTATCTATTACAGATGGACAAAATATATCGGTAGAATCTCCATCAAGAGTTTCAATTTCTTTATAGCTTTTTATAGCTTTTGATTTTTCTATATCATATCTGATTAACATCTAACCATTTAATAGTTGTATTTCTATCAGTTCCATGTAGAGGAATGTTTAACAACGTATCAGCTGCTTCAAGAACTCCACATTCTCCATTATTAGTGAGTCGCAAAGCAATATTCCAAAGATAGTTCGCTAATGATTTCTTATTATTTGTACTATTAAAGACAGAATCAGTTAATTCACATTTTGCTGTTTTATTCAAATATTTAGTAATATAAGGTATAGTAAAAAGAAATCTATTATTTTTCCAATAGATGGCTTTAGTAATCTGTATCTCGCGTTGTATAAGTGCGATCGGGTTATACCAAATGGCGTTAGAAAGATAAGATTTCGTACTAAAAAAACTTCTGAGACAGTTTTGTGATTGCTTGAGTCAGTATTGTTTGAGCGCGTGTCAAAGATGGACACCAACAAAGAGAAAATACGCCATATTTTACAGTTTTTCTTCGATAAAGGCGAAAACGCAAGCCAGGCGGCTGAAAATGTGAATAGTGTTTATGGTCCTGATACTGTAACAGTCAATATCGCGCAATTTTGGTTTCGTCGATTCCGTTCCGGTAATTTTGATGTCAAAGATGCACCACGCTCTGGAAGGCCAATTATCGAAAATGTCGATAAAATAATGGAAATCGTCGAGTCCGACCGTCATGTAAGCACTGTTTCGATTGCCCAGGAGCTAAACATTGCACAAAAAACCGTTTGGAACCATTTAAATAAGGCTGGATACAAAAAGAAGCTCGATGTATGGGTGCCACACGAGTTAACGCAAAAAAACCTCATGGACCGAATTTCCATCTGCGAATCGCTGCTGAATCGCAACAAAATCGACCCATTTCTGAAGCGAATGGTTACTGGTGATGAAAAGTGGGTCACTTACGACAACGTCAAGCGAAAACGGTCGTGGTCGAATCGCGATGAGCCGGCGCAAACGGTGGCCAAGCCAGGATTGACGATCAGGAAGGTTTTGCTGTGTGTTTGGTGGGATTGGCAGGGAATCATCTACTATGAGCTGCTCCACTACGGCCAAACTCTTAATTCGGACCTGTACTGTCAACAATTGGACCATCTGAAAGAAGCAATCGCCCAGAAGTGGCCAGCTTTGGCCAATAGGAGAGGAATTGTGTTCCATCAAGATAACGCCAGGCCACACACATCGATAGTGACTCGCCAGAAGCTCCGGGAGCTTGGTTGGGAGGTTCTTATGCATCCACCTTATAGTCCGGACCTGGCACCAAGTGATTACCACCTGTTCCTGTCTATGGCGAATGATTTTGCTGGTGAAAAATTCGCCTCAAGAGAAGCTTGTGAAAATCGACTGTCCCAGTTTTTTGCCAATAGGGACGAGGGTTTCTATGAGAGAGGCATAATGAAATTACCTTCAAAATGGCAACAAGTTATCGAACAAAACGGTGCATATTTGACCTAAATCGGATCATTCTAACTATGCTAAATAAAGCCTTCAATTTAATGCAAAAATAATAGATTTCTTTTTACTACAC